TACCATAACAAAGAAAGATTAAATAACAATTTATTACATTTTTCGTGAAAAAATATATCTTATCAATATTTCTAGATAATTAATTTTGGTGGACCTTCATACTTTGTCTTATATTATATTAACAATATATATCAATAACATCATTATTATTTGATCTGACAATATTTTCTTCAATTCTTTCCTCATACTGGTTAATCACTCATTCATCATTTGATGATAAATTATCAAGAATCAAAGCATCATCATATCAATATCTATCTTATAATTTTTTATTACACGTGATATAAAACAATTTGTTCATCCTAGCTACAACCAAATAATTTTTTTCTCTTTGAATGCACTTCGTTAAATATGTTCAATTTTGTTCACATGGAGAAGCTGAACACATTAGATTTTACACTCTAACTCGAAATGCTTTTAATATTGATGTTTCATCACTCCAAAGTGCATCCACCAATGCTCTAAATCATTTGCTAGAAAAGATAAAATAAGAAAAATATTGATTACATATTTGACAAACCTAATCAATAAGTTTAATATTGAGTTGATAGACATCTTTCTAAGCCAACATGTTTTGCGTGACAATTGGGCAGCAGATGCCAAATTTTTCTTTTGTGATGAATTATTCAAGTTGTCTATTAGCCTTCTCAAATTCTTTTAATGAGATTATTATACTCTCCATACATTTATAAAAATTTAACCCCCGCACATCCAAAGAAGCCGCATCAAAATGAAATAGAGGATTTAAAAAATATCCAACAGCATACAAATTACAATATAATTAATTGTCCAATTTATGATCAATAAGTACCAAGATCCCTTGCAAAGTTGATTCATCTCCACCTAAATTTTTTGTTATTTATTTTTGCCTGTCTATAGAACCATAGATGAAGCTCGTTGTAGGACACTTTTCACCATCATCCTAAAAAACTTAAATTTCAATCCACTGGCAATCCTCAACCTCTTCATCTTCTAGCTTGTCACTTTTACGATGTCTTCCACTTCTTGAATGTCTCAAATACATTACACTGTTGCTTAAATATAAAATTCCAAGCCTTTCCTAAGAAACCATATATTAAGTTAAGCACAAAATGCCACTCGATGTCTTCCACTTCTTGAATGTCTCAAATACATAAGTTAAGCACAAAATGCCATAATGTTATGGGGTTCTTTTCGTAATTAATTTTTACTACTATAACTATTTTCCTTTTCATACTCATAAAAGGTAGTTTGATAAAAGTGTTTGATTGTTTTAAAGAAAGAATAGCCCATGTAAACCCATCCCTTAAAGAGAAGAGTTTTGGAGTTTTTTTTTTAAGGCAATCCTAAGTTTGGGTAAGACACTCCCTATTCTTGGAGAAGAGAAAGAGATAAGAAAATTGTAATGTGGTATGGGACTGGGACAATCGATCACTGAAGCCCCAATAAAATTTTGATAGCACTCTTTGGCCCTATCACTACGATTCCAGTAGTTGTGTGGGGCTACTGGTTGTCTAGCAAGACCAGTGGCATTCCTTTATTCTAGACATCAAGTAAGCCTAGGACAATCAATTTTGAAGGTTCAAATAAAAGGCAACATGTGCGCACAAAGAAAATTCCTCCACAATAATATGAGAAGGTTCAAATAAAGGGCAACAAGTGCACACAAAGAAAAATCCTCCGCAATAATATGAGGGCTTCTTTGTTCTTGCAGGAATGGGATTTTCAATTTGAGATTACTAGGAGAGTAAGTACTTCTAGACTTTTTTGAAAAAAAGAGAGGTAAATTTCAACAGTTACAATCTTCAGAGAAACCTTTAGGGCGGTGGTCCATGGATTATGATAATCAGGCTCTACATGTTATGCATTGACGTAGGGACATTCTCACAATTAGGATTGAAAAAGAGTAAAGCTTGAACGAGCTCAATGTTTGTTCGTGTTCGATTCATTTTAAAAATTTCTTTGTTCGAAATCAAGTTGTGTTTAAAATTAATCCCGAATAGCATGTTCGTGTACAAAATTTTTGACTTCATCTAGTTCCTGTTGGACTCATGCTTGGTTCATATTTGGCTTGAATTATTAAAAAAAAATACTAAATTTTATTTTTTAAATAAAACATAAAAAAATCAAAATTTTATCTCAAAACTGTGGTTTATAGAAATAAATATTTGATTACAAAATTATTTCATGCCAAACAAACATCACACAACTACTTGTTTGTGTCAGCTCGCTCATAGATCGAGTTCAAAATTTTTATTCGTGTTTGGCTCGCTTAACGAATAATTTGAAAATAAGTTTTTAACGAGCCTAACACGGGCAAGGGCAATTCATGAACAACAAATTTATTTGAAAATCCTACTTGCAACTAGAGTTATGGATAGAGTTGTAACCAGCCGGAAGGTGATGGCAAACTCTCCTGCTAGCTTAATTCCACAAATTTCTATAACCACAAGGCAGACTACTTCAGGTTCTTTGTTTTGTACTCTTTCTTGTTTAGTATTTTTCCTTTGTGTACAATGATCTACACCTCTATTATTGAATTAAAGTGTAGGTTGCTGGAATTCTAGAAAGCCTTATTTTCAATCTAGTTTGGATCATAACAAAATAAATACATCATTGAGAATTGAGATGAGCCAGGGACTTCCAGTTAGAGAATAACGATGAAAATGCCACATACAATAGCAATCAAAGATGATTTCCTAGCACTTTCCATGACCAATTTTTGGGAATAACAACAGGGCTAAAGGAATTGTCCTCGTCGGTTATTAAATACAATGATCCTATAAACTATTTGTTTCCTTCTCTGTCTATTCCATTCAGTTATAAACTAGTTACTTAAATAAGAGTTCATATAGTTCTTCTTGGAGATTGTTGGTGTCAAAAATAACTGTATTCGATATCCTCAAAGCTGGCACATATATAGCCTCTCAAAATTCCTCACATCAACATTACACGAGAAGCACTTGATCTAGAAAGTCGCTATCGGAACAATTGTAAAAGTCATGTCATTGCCTATAAGTAAATTATCTCCACTAAAATAACTAGAAGAACACCAATCCATGTCACGACACATGTGATATGAACATCTAAGAATTATGGATCCAATCTTCAGTGAAAGAAATTATTCTTAGATGTTCACTGAAGATTTTGCTCCCTACCAACCAACAATTACTCTTTCTATTATTCTACAACTAGGGTTGTTGGTAAGTCGAGTCGTCTCATTGGCCAACTTATTATTGGGCTCATGTCAAGCTTAAAAAGCCAACAAGGTAAGCTCAAATGACGAGCAAAGCTCACATTCGAGCTACTAGTGACTAAACATGTTAACTCATTAGGCCAATTTATTCATTATCTTTACTGTCGAGCCAACTAAACAATTTAAATCAAATGATATGGCATAGTTGTAATTTAAAATAATTAAAAATATTCTAGAAAAAGTAAGATAAAAATTTCAAACCATTATCTCCCATAACCTCACTCACATAAAGACATCCACTTCTTTCTAATCCTTCTATGTCTGAGGGCCTAAAATGTCTTCTACAGCAACGCCTCTGTTATTGTTCACATCCATAGCCTTTACCTTCTTCGCCAACTTCAACAAAAGCCATTGTTGTCTCAAGCACCGTCTAAATATCAATTGACACTTTTGGAATAACCTCATTACACTGCTACTCACCCCTCACCTCACACATCCACAATTTTACAACCATCAACTCCTCTGGTCACATGGTCACATGCTTACCCTAAGGCTTCTTGTAGTGTTGCATAGACCTTTCCTTCTAGATATTAATTTTAATCTCCCACTTTCTTCCTTCTTTCTTTAAGCTCCAATAAGATCTCATAAATACACCCTCAGCTAAATTTTGTCTTTAGAACTTTCTCAACTCATTTGATAAAAGGATAGGCTTCAACCCTTTCATGAAAATTATGACATTTCTATAGAACAAAGTGGTGACAATGCACTCATAAGTGGTTGGTAGGGAGCAAAACAAAATGAAAGATTCATCCGTCTTCATTCTTCATACAAATATCTGCTATATCCAAAAGTTAAATGTTCACAGTGCTCGTGCAATCATGTATCATATTTCATAAAAAATGCAAACAATTGTTGCTTCAAATAGAGACAATTGGCAAGTGATTTCATTATGTATAGAAATTCTAATATTTACAACAAGTTTTGTGTGGTACTGTGACCTGCAACATTTCAAAGAACTGCTTCTACTAAACTAAGAATTATCGAACTCGGGTCTTTTTAATCTATCTTTTCCTTTTCTTGATCCTTTTCGCATGAAGAATATTTCCCTTTAATGTCCTTTTCTTAGAAAAAGATGCACTTACATTCATCTTCTAAATATTGAAATCATTGTTCCCAATTAACTTCTAAAACTCATATTTGACAACACCAATAGAATGCTTTGATGATGCCATCTTATAAGTTCAACTTTGATACTTGTTTGCTGCAATGTAATTGCCTAAATTTTCTCTCTTCGCGAACACAAAATATAGCAATATAATAAGCTTAGGAAAATAAAACTAGTGTATAAATGGTTCAGTCAAGAATGGCCTACTTGAATGAGGCAAAGAGACAAAGAGGCAAAAAAGATAAACTATAAAATATTATAAAGTAAAATTTGAGAAAAGTAAAAGAATGGATCAAATCCTCTCACAAAAAACTAGCCAGAAATGTAGATGATCTCACCAAATTCAAGATGAGAGGCAATGAAAAGAAAAGAAGAATTGCTCTTCTCACCAAATCTCTAATAATAAAAATTAAAAAAAAAAATCCTTCTTTCTCCATCAACCAAACAAAAAGCAAGGAGCCCAGGAAAAAAATTTACGAAAAAGAATCTAAGAAGCTCCAGTTACAAATATATTTAGATCAGTTTAATTAATACTTATGAATCCCGCATAATCATTATGAAAACAGAGGAAAGGTTAAATCTGTAAATGTATCAATAAAAAAAGAAAAGAGCAAAAATGCCACATATTTATTCAAAGGAAAGTTTTTGAAGTTTCAAAACCTTCTCCAAAATTGCTGCCTCTTCTGCATACATGAGCTCCCTTGCCCTAGCATCCTTAAGTTCTTTCTCAAACTTTTCCTGAAATCAAATATAACCACAATAAATGAAAATAATTTCCAGCCAGCACAAGTGTACAAATTCTAAATCTCAACCATATAAACCTTTTCTTTTTACTTTAGTATTTGCTTTTAAAAGTTCATCGAACTTTAAAATTTTAATTCCTCCTTAACGAAGTTGTGATGCATGCTGCTTGTAAATATTCAATTACTCAACTAGTACAGCTGATGGGGATCCAAGTGTTATACTCATTGCAAGCACAAATCTGATGTGCTACAGCAAGGAAAAAATAGCAAGTTGAAAATTTGGAGATTTATTTTCATTTTATAATCTGAAGATGTATTATTTTAATATTATTTAAGAAGATTAAAACTATTCTATAATGATGTGTCCACGACAACGAGATATGCTATCCTTATGATGTTTTTGCCACAGAATGTTGACCTATAAAAGAGAAGCATAAAACTAAGTGTTACTGAGATGAGAATGCTTAGGTGGATGAGTGGCTTTACGCTTAGAGACAAAATGCAAAAAGAATATATCTATGAAAGGGTTGGTGTAGCTCCAGTGGAAGAAAAGATTAGAGAGAGTTGTCCTTGATGGTTTGGTCACATTAAACATCAACCATCTAATCACCCAGTTATGAGAGTAGATGTTTTAGATTTGACTTATGATAACAAAGTTAGAGATAGACTTAAAAAGACTTATGCTTTTTGTATGAAAAAATGCTTTTTGTATGAAAAAATGATCTTGACTTATTAGTATTAAATAAAAATAAGACACTCCAAAGGACACAATGGTGAAAAAGGATTCATGTAACCGACCCTAGTTTGATGCAGAGCAACTTTTGCCCCAGATGCGGCAAGTGTCGCTGATTCGCCCCAGGACAGGTTCGGTTAAGGCAAAGGAAGGACTGAACGGGCCTTCCAAGCACGGGTTTCCCTCCTATTTGGAGCAAGGCCCGCTCCTATTTACTGTAGGTCTATATATATATATATATATATATA